TATGATGTCTTGCCTTTTTTAATTCTCCTTTCTCTTTGTATATAAGTCCGTCCTATCTTATGAAATATGCAGAAATTGAATACAATAATATTAAGTTTATAAGAGTTTTTCAAAAGATATGGATTTGACGGATTTAATCCTCGGGATTAAAATCGTGAGAAGACCTGATGGTCTCGTGTTAAACCAATCTCATTATGTTGATAAAATCTTTGCAAAGTTTAATAAGGATGATTATCAAGTAGCTAGGACGCCGTTAGATACTAACGTTCATCTGTCCAAAAATTGAAGAAAGTGTATTTCTCAAGTAGATATTTCTAGAATATTATGTTACTTTATATAGTTTTAATTATTTAACATGTGAATTTAATTTTACACATGTTAATAAAAGAAGCGAAGATGAAAATGACTATTTGCAATGGAATAAGCTGATTTGATCACAAGAATCTAATGAATATGAAAATGAGAATGATGGGGAAGCAATTTTCATACTAGTTCATAACAATGTCGAATACTAAAAATATTAAATAATGCACATATTAATTTAAAAACTATATTACTGTGGGAGCACCCAAAAAAATGATAAGAACAATATAATGTGGTATTATATAAGTAAATGAAGCTAACTACTATGTATTATGATAACACATTTTATATCATTCAAAGTGGGTGGTCATATGATCAAATTTGAATCTCAGTTGTGGAGACATTAATTCTTTGAGCTTATTGAAAAAGTATAGAACATATATTACATGTAAAGAATCATTAATATTGTAAAAGAAAATAAGTAAATGGAAAAATGAAAAATGTATTCCAATGTGATAAAATTGTCACATGTTTCCATGGAAAATTAATAAAAACTATTATATATTTTAATAAATTAATTAAAATATGCCACATCAATTAGTTAGAAATAAAAAGTAAAAGGGTCACACTTGTCTGAGATCTTCTTACGGATCTTTATTCGTGGATCGGGTTGGGTCAGGATGCAAATATCATACTCCGTACTTATATGCTCAGATGTAATACTAATTAGGAATAAAATGTTTGTTACTTATAAAGGAAAATGTAATACTTTTACATTTTAATGTAAAAGTATTATATTTTTCATCAAAAGTATTACATTTTCCATAGTAAGTAATGTTACGTTGGCAAGTGTTTGTTACTTATAAAGGAGAATATAATACTTTTGAGGAAAAATGTAATACTTAGATCAAAATGTAAAAGTATAACAATTTCCTTTAAGGGTGAGTTTGGAAATCTGGAAAATGATTTCTGAAAATCAATTTTCAGGCTTCCAATGTTTGGCTAGAGGGAAAAATGGAAGTCAATAGAAAATAAGGGTGCGGTTAATGGAAAATATAGGGTATTTTTATAAAAAATGACTTCCCTTTTTTTTTTGGGGAAGTCATTTTCCGTTTGCAGTAGTGGAGCAGCCAATCACCCGCCGCCTCAACCATCACCACCACCACTACCCCCAACACCACCACCACCATCATTGTATATTTTAAATATTTAAAATTAAACATAATTATGCTTATTTTCCAGAAAATGAATCAAACACACCAAGGCAGTTTTCTGTAATACAACCAAACAATGAAAAGGAAAATATTTTCTGAAAAATGAGTCAATTTTCAGAAAATATTTTTAGAAGCCATCTTCCTACTTTCCAAACAAACCTTAAAAGTATTACATTTTCTCATATAAGTAATAAAGATTTTATTCTTAATTAATACAAAGTAATACATTTGTGTTTTAAGTATTACATTTTTATCTTGACTCGATTTCACGCATCTCACAGTGAGACGTTTCACATAAGTTTTTGCCAAAGTAAAAATATATGCATCATCATGACAACTAGCTCAAGAACATTCAAGTGATTGAAAGTGAGTGACATTTGGTGGCCACGTGTCTCATAGGGGATGCACCTTTGTAGTACCACACAGAGTTGACCAAAGATTGATCCCCACAACCAAAGTAGTTGAACTTCACAACCTCTGATCTTTTGCTCTCTCTACCATCGTCTTACCTAACAATATAATATCTCATGCAATATAATTGAGTCAAATATATAGACACTCTTACATTACTGATTTTTAAATTAATTTTTGTATTATTTTTTTTTTAAATGTTACTGGCTCTATTACAATGTAATATCTGTTCATATACAAAGAACCAATAAAGCCTCCATTAAGGTTTGAACTCATTAACCTTCCAAATGAAAGTTTAATCCGGGTATCATTAGACCACATATTCTTGGTAATTTTTGTATTATTTGAAGCAATGTAATTTATCTAATTTAAAATATATATGTACTAACTGCAAAGTTCATGAATAAGCAATGATTAATATATAAAGATCATTATACTCATTACAAAGTATATTTAATGAATAATTTACTCAAGTGATATACAAAATTTATTATATAATTATACATTCTCATAATAAATTTTACAATTATTTTTTAAAAAAAATATAAAAATATATGAGATTTATAATACTATTCACAATAAACTATTACAAAAATAAAATTTACAAATTTTGAAAAACTTTTTATATACAAAATTTATTATATATTAAACAAAACCAAAATTTTCAAACTCTTACAAATTAAACCTTGATAATATTGTCAAAGACCTTATGGTCGAGCGGCATAATTGTGTCTTTCTCAAATGAAAGGTCACATATTCAAACTCCAGTGGGAGAGTATTGACTCATTGTGTTTCAGAAACAATCTCAAAGACTTGATCTCGAAATAACTCACAATTTTTTTATCCATAAATTCAAAACAGTATTTATAAATCATTGACGGTTCATTCTAAATGATTAGCTTGTATTTAATAATCAATTTAACAAGTTATATATAGGGATTATTATACTCATTACAATGAAAATTGTAATAAATGCCCCTCTAATATGTCAATTATCAATGTCATCCCTGAATTATAAGTAGTGTAAATGTTGTCCCTCAATTATCAAAATGGTACACATATAGCCCCTCCGGTAACGGACCTGTGGTTCAGACTGAAGCAAAGAAAGTAGAGTTGACAGAACGACAAGAAGCGAACAGAGAGCGTCGAGAAAAGAAGAGAGAGCGTCGAGAAGAGAACAAAATCTTATGCATAAGTTTAGATTCAATTACAAATCCAATGGTGCGTGAGTCTATAAGGAATGAGCAACTACAAATTGTTGCAAAGAGAGCTAATGAGCAAACACATGGAGGAGGGGTTGAATCAAGTAGTCAGTTTAATCAATATTTTGATAATATGGGAGGGAATGGAAGTGGTCTTGGAGACTATTAATTTTAAGTATGTTTTGTTTAATTTCGGATGTATTCTGTTTAATATTATGAAAATTATGTTCTATGCACTTTAGTTTTTAATTAATCTATAGATAATATTAGGCTTGTTTTAATCGTCTTGATGCGATCTTTCAAATGATATAATTTATTTTTTATTATTCAAATTTTATGTTTATGTATTTAACAAAATATGTAAATCTATAAAAACAAAATAGGAATACAAAAGAAATTAATAAAAAAGGCCAAGGGCAAAGTGGAAATTAAATTTATTAACTCCATTTGGCGTCAAGCTACAGTGGCGCTGCACTGTAGACAATCGGCAAAATGACGCCACATTTGGCACTTCATTGAAGTACTTCAGAGTCAAAAGTAGCACCATTTTGGCGTTTGAGGGAGCAAATAACGCTCCCTTGGAAAAGGTCTTAATGCATCAATCAACGTAACTATTATTAGTTTCTTTCTATAAGTAATTATCAATTATTAAAGTTAGAGAGATCCAAATTTTACATCAAATATTTTGTCATACCGTTCATATGACATGATAATAAAATTCTTTTGATTTTTTATTACTATGAATTGATTAACTCCATCTCACCTTAAAAAATAAATTTTCATTTTGGTGAAAATTTTTGATTCATTTAACTTAATTAATTATCAACCAGTGTGTTACACTAAAATTTCTCCGTCAATATGCTTGTACGGGTTTAGCTCATTGGTTCAGTAGGCAGTATCTGATCTGGAACAAGAGACCAAGGTTTGAAATTCGACAGCCACAGTGTGAGGACTATGTCCAAAGTGGACAGATCCCCCCATGACATTTGACCATGTCTGCTGAGTCACTGAGTTACCGAGATTTACATCCTCCCAAATGTTCTGACAACCCAGAAGCCCTTGAGGGTTGAGGATTCAATCTTTTGGGACAAGAATTTCTTGGTCAATATGTTGCGAAGTACTTTGGATAGATAAATTATAATTAATTCAGGAGTTGATAATTATAATATGGTTTTTATTAACTGAACAAGCCCGTATACTTAAACACACGAATTAAGACTTTGATGTACTCAAAGCCAGATATTCTGTTGGCATATATATGTTTTTGAAAGATTAGAGATCAATTTCTTGAAGTAAACGGAGTCGATCTAAGTTCCAGTACAGAGCAGAGATCCATCAGATCTGAAGAGTTTGCAGCCCGTTTTGGCAGTGCAGCAGTTGACACACAATGGACGAGTAGTTGGCTTGTTTCCTGGTGGCCACTTCATCGTGGCCACTCGTTGCTCGCAGACTTCGGCGCACACTTTGCCGCCATCATACTGCGCATCCACCCTAATTAAAACAATTCCTATTATCCACAAAAAGAAGTAAAGTTATATATACTCCAAAAATCAATAATTCACAAGTAGAAAAATGTTCATCCATATCTCCCAACACCAACCAAATGTGGTGGGTAATATCGATCGTCAATAAAAAATCATCAAAAAATTTTCAAATAAGAAGTTTAAAATTAAACTTTAGCGATTAAAATGTGTTTGAAGTTTTTCATCTATACGGCCCATAAAATAAACAAAATATTGTTCTAAATTAATCGAAGTTGAGTGTTACTGGCTTAATTGCTGCAAGGTATCATGGATATTATATTAGAGACAAAAAAAAAAAAAAAAAAAAAAAAAAAAAACAAAGGGAAGTTTGAGATACAACGGCTTACCGCACACAAGAAGAAAAGCCAGCAGGATCACAACTTTGTTGACTGCCATGTTTCTTTGTTCTTTGATGACTTTGGGGAGTTGTTAGCCCTCTCATTTATAGCATGCAAATGCTACTACAAGACAAGAACGAGAAGAAATAAGATCAATTGTTATGTCATCGACCCGGATCCAAAATGACACCATCTGAATTTTTTTTTTTTTTTTTTTAAAATGCTTCATTCTTTGCCAACTTTATATTCACAAAAAATAAAATATCATTGAATTGATTGAGGAAACGTTGCCACTAACGGCACCGTTATGAATATTGAGTTTTGTGACGTTTGTCTTCAGAATTCGTTCATCTATATTCATAAATTTTAAACTCTATATTCACAATTTTAGAACGCTCTATTCAGAATTTTAGAACTGAATATTCATAATTTTAGATCTCAATATACAAAATTAGTAAATTACAAAACTCAATATTCACAATTTTTGAACTCTATATTCACAATTACAGAACTCTATATTTACAATTTCATAACTCTATATTTAGAATTAAAAAACTCTATATTCACAATTACAGAATTCTATATTCAATAGTATAACACAATTTTTAAATCTATATTCACAATTTTTGAACTTTATATTCACAAAAAATAAAATATCATTGAATTGATTGAGGAAACGATGCCACTAACGACACCGTTATTCTACACGCGTTTTAGACTTGAGTCCACTTTTCAAGTGGACCCGGGTCCACAGCATGATTTGCCAAATACGATAATTAGAGAACCATGCTGGATATATGACTACTTTTCGTATCACATTAATTAATTAATTAATCAATTATGACTAACTTTGTCCATTTGTAATTTAGTAACAAGCTGGATCTATGACCAAGCTTAACTCCTGGACTAATATGGAAGGATCGAAGGATTGGTTGGATCACATTGGCATCGCAAATTATACCATGGAATCGTGTTCACCGAGAATGGTGAATACAAGGCAAAACGACGTCGTTTTTAGGCAAAAAAAAAAAAAAAAAATCGCGGATGTGGAGTTAACGGCGCGCGTTTGATCAAATTATGAATTTTCTGTTATGAGATTATGAATTTTATGAAAATTCATAATCTCATTACAGAAAATTCATAATCGCATAACAGAAAATTCATAATCTCACAACTGAAAATTCATAATCTCATAACAGAAAATTCATAATCTTATAACAGAAAATTCATAATCTCATGGTTCCAAAGTGAATGTGTAGGCATGGTTCCAAAGTGAATGTGCAGGCATGGATTCATAATTTATGAATGTCCGTGATTTCGGACGGGAATATGTAGGCATGGTTCCAAAGTGAATGAGGCATGAATTCATAATTTATGAATGTCCGAAATTATGAATGTAATGAAAATTCATAATCTCATAACAGAAAATTCATAATCGCATAACAGAAAATTCATAATCTCATAACTAAAAATTCATAATCTCATAACAGAAAATTCATAATCGTATAACAGAAAATTCATAATCTCATGGTTCCAAAGTGAATGTGCAGGCATGGTTCCAAAGTGAATGTGCAGGCATGGATTCATAATTTATGAATGTCCGTGATTTCGGACGGGAATGTGTAGGCATGGTTCCAAAGTGAATGTGCAGGCATGAATTTATAATTTGTGAATGTCTGAAATCTTTGTTCACCTCAAATTAAAGTAAAACCGCAAAATGTGAAAATAAAGAAGAAAAGTCACGCAATTAATTAAGAAAAAAAAAAGAAAAAGAAAAGAAGATAACGGTGTACTAACACCGTTGGAACCATGGTGAACACGGTTCCATGGCATAACGTCCCCATTGGCATTCATCAGGCCATCTAACAATATTATTATTCGCTTTTATCATAATTTATTATTAACATTTTGTACGTGCATTGCGCAAAAATTCATATTTAATATTAAAATATTACTAAATAGAAATTATATATATATATATATATATATATATATATATATATATATATATATATATATATATATAGACTTGCACTCGGGTGCGAACGGCTCGCTCAGGCGCGAAATAGGAATGAATTCTGTTCGTCCACGTGTTCAGATCTAATGGATGAGAAACACTGATTTTTAAAAAAAACGCGGTGGCATTTTTGTAAATAATTGAACATCGAAGTGCAAGTAAAATGTATTACAAGTGCATGTAAAATGTACTATAGGTGCAAGTAAAAATTTACACTGAGCATCAATACTTAGTTGCACTTACAGTTCTAAGTTGTTGCACCGATAGTTCTAAGTAGTTGCACAAATAGGTATAAGTAGTTGCATCTAGGTGTATGAATGTTTGCGAGTGGTTTTCAGGAGTATTACTGCCCGCTGACTCAGATCAATGAATGTTAACAAGGCAAAATTACATGCACTTATAGGTGAAAGTAGGTGCACCTATAGTTATAAGTAGTTGCACACATAGTTATAAATAGTTGCACATATAGTTATAAGCACACCCAGGTGCATGAATGGTTGCGGAAAGTGAATGCTAACAAGGCAAAATTACATGCACTTATAGGTGAAAATAGGTGCACTTATAAGAGATTTTACTTGCACTTCGATGTTCAATTATTTACGAAAATGCCACCGCGTTTTTTTTAAGTTATTAGATCTTGACACGTGTCGCGCGCTGATTCGTTCGCATTTCCTTCCTGGGCACTTATTCGCACCTGAGTGCGTCCCTATATATATATATATATATATATATATATATATATATATATATATATATATATATATATATATATATATATATATATATATATATATATATATATATATATATATAGGCTTTGGTTCCCATGAGGTACCTAATTAAAATGAGATCATGAGATCCCATCACTAGCATTCACTCATTTAAATTTGATGGCTTAGATTAAAAGAGATTTAGGAAATAATTTTGGTCAGATTATAAGGATAGGGAGTTTCACGTAATTTTGAATGTGTATTTATTTTTGGGTAGAATATTAATGAATTATTGTGCATAGTAATAGCCAACCTAAGAATGGTAATAACTATTACTGCCATGTGATTACATAGCTACAGCAATTCCAATTAACGTAGTGACCGGGGAAGGAAACGCTGGTGAGGGACTGTGCATGCCGAGCTGAAAGGGTGTAGAAGACGGCGTGGTGGCTTGTGCATGGCGTGTGCAACATTGGGTATGTGGTCCTTAATTGGGTTTTTAAGTTGTTTATTTACATAGTTTGTGCATATGTAAGTTATGGCGTGTGCAATAACTGCGTAGTGTGGTCCTTAATTGGTTTTTTAATCTGTTTATCTTCATAGTTTGTGCATTTGTAAGTTATGGCGTGTGCAACAACTGAGTAGTGTGGTCCTTATTTGGGTTTTTAATCTATTTATCTTCATAGTTTGTGCATTTGTAAGTTATGGCGTGTGCAACAACTGAGTAGTGTGGTCCTTAATTGGGTTTTTAATCTATTTATCTTCATAGTTTGTGCATTTGTAAGTTATGGCGTGTGCAACAACTGAGTAGTGTGGTCCTTATTTGGGTTTTTAATCTATTTATCTTCATAGTTTGTGCATTTGTAAGTTATGGCGTGTGCAACAACTGAGTAGTGTGGTCCTTAATTGGGGTTTTAATCTGTTTATCTTCATAGTTTGTGCATTTGTAATGTATGGCATGTGCAACAACTGAGTAGTGTGGTCCTTAATTGGGTTTTTAGTCTGTTTATCTTCATAGTTTGTGCATTTGTAAGATAAGGCGTGTGCAACAACTGAGTAGTGTGGTCCTTAATTGGGTTTTTAATCTGTTTATCTTCATAGTAGTGTTGTCCTTAATTATTGGTTACCCATGCATACTTGACAGGATGTTGGAAAGACTACTATGACTTTGAGGAATTGATTCTTGAACGTGAGAATAATAACTCTTGTTTGGACAATAATTACTCTGCAAATAACTGTGTTGTCATTTCATGTAATGCAGAATCTCAGTGTGTAATATCCTCCATGTTCATCAAGTATGAGATGTATTATTTGTAATTAATAAATAATATGTTTTCCTAACAGCAAAAACAAGAATGGAAATGACTGAAAAATATTTGTGGTCTTTGATAAAGAAGCTTGAAAGCTATTCAAGAAAATCCACTGGCTTCAAAGCTACATGGACTATTTGTCTATTTCAGATGAGTGTTGTTGAGAAGTGGAACCAACACATTGTTCTTCCTACCAACTAATCTCAATGTTTCTTCCTGCTCTCCACATCCCACTTCTATATAAGCTTGCCCAGATACAACCCCAAACCATAATCCAAGCTGAAATAGAAACAAAACATCTTCACCACCAAGAATGGCTCATCATCTCAACCCATCCTTTCTCCTGCTTTTCTTGATCTCTCTGTCACCGGCGCTCGAGTCCAGAGACATTCTGGAGATGACATTGCCAAAGCCTGAGCTGCCAGAAATTCCAAAACCAGAGTTACCAACATTCCCAAATCCTGAAATCCCAAAACTAGAGCTTCCAACATTACCAAAGCTTGAAATCCCAGAAATCCCAAAAAAAAAAAAAAAAAAAAAAAACAAGAACGAAACCCTAACCCCATCGGGCGACTCGCACACGCCGCTACACGCAGTCGCACACCCCGAACCAGATAACCTACCACTGGCCGCCAACCATAACCCCCAAAAAATGGGGAAAAAAAAAACCAACACACAGAAAAACTAACGAAAAAAAAAAACCAAACGACGAACCAAGCCGTCTACTGCTAGACCCCCACCGCCGGCGTCGACCCCCATCCCCACACCACTGCCACCGCCCCCCGCTCGCCCTCCTAACACCACGGCCACAGCACCCAACCGTCTCGCCGGAACATGCAGCCGCCGCAAAACCCAAAAACCGACAACACCAACACCCATTTAGGGCGGATATAAACCCCCTGTAACATCGACACACTGAACACACACCATCCCACAACCACGCCTACCACATACACCAACAACCTAAAAACCTAAATCATTATATAGAATGAAAAACTAAGCAATAGACAAGACCGTACCTTGAACCCCAGCAGAGGAAGACCCACGCCAA